AAATTATRTGTGTGTATGCTTGTGTGTGAGAGAGAGATATGTGTTTAGATAAACATATTTTGAACATCTGGTTTTCTGCCTTATTTTTGTTKGGTCTCCTGTGGAAGTTGCTTTGAGTTTTTTTAGTGGTCTTTGAGTTATGGAGCACAGTGTTTCTCAAGAGCCAGGACTCACTTAGCACTGGTGCAGTGCTATCTTGGAAGGAGGACAAATGATAGATAGAAGTAGATAAAATAAATGAGGATCACACAGTAAAAYGCAGACCTTACCACTGAAAAAGATTAGGTATAATTGGTAGATATTAATTTGTCTAGTTCAGAATCTCTGTGAGTGGCAAAACCAAAGCCTGGAAAACTTGGTAAATCCAAAAGGAGCTGGAGGGGTGAGCTATATGGTGCACAAGAGCTTATTTTTCAATTGCTTTAGCAAAATTTAAAAGGTATTTTGAAAAACCCTGTTTTATAAAAACAAAATGTTGGAATTGGCTTTCTAGCCAGAAAGTTCTTAATATATCCAAATCTGTGCTGCTTTAACCTATGGGAAGTATAGGCCTTAGTTCAGCAAAGCGTTTAAGCATGTGGATAGTTCAGTACTTCTTTGGGTTTCAGTTAGAAGACTTTTTCCTTGAATTTGGAGATGTGCTTGAATCTCCCGTGGAGCTGGAGTCCCGCTGCCAGCTCAGCCCACCGTGTTTCTGCCCTCCTTTCATCCACGGAGCGGGCCGGTGCCGGCAGCATCCGAGCTCCTGCCTTCTGCAGGGACCACAGTGAGAGCAGGGCAGGCTGGCTCCAGCGCTCTCCTGTTCACACACTTTCATCTAAACCTAAGAAATCCAAGCATGAGTCCTCCCTTGGTTAATTTAATTTAAACCCCAGCTCACGAGCTGTGCGGTAACTTTCTTAAAAATGTAAATGCGTGGGCTTACTGTACAGATACTCGTGTTAGGAAATATGTTAAACACCTTAGTGAAATGCTGTCCTTTAGCATCCTAAAGGATGCCAAGGGCTATCACAGGAAATGCTTCCCGTGACCACAGCCTTTCTGGCAACACATGGAGTGAGCTCTTAATGCCTGTGTGGGAACCAGAGCATGGGGCCAGAGAAACAGACTTTATATAGGAAAGGAAATGGAAAAATCCCCCCTCCAAACAAACAAAAAAACCCAATTTGCAGCATTTACATGTCAGCCAGTGCTTTTGATTTTTTCAARATGTTACAGAAATAACAGTCTTGGAAAAAACAGTATTTCACTTCTTCTTTCAGAACAAGTTCCTCCAGTCTTGTCCTGGCTGATGATTGCATAATACTTCATAAAATGTAGATATTAATGCAGGATTTAATTAACACTCTTTCTGTCTTTTCTCTCTGAGATTATTTTTCACGGTGACCCTTTTGCATCCTCAGATGTTGAGAAAGGGGAAATAACAGGTTTACTAGCTAAACATATCGTGAGAACATGCAAGTCACATAAGGTGTTAAATAGTCCAGATACTTTCTGTTTGCAGTTTGTGTGAGGTTCAGATGATTATGTCCTTCTCAGGACCAAATCTGAGAAAAGTGGAGACGATGAAAACAAATGGACTTGATTTTTTATCTAGGTATTCCATCGTGTAAGTGCACAGTAGCTGAAAATCTTTATAGCACAGCTACATATTTATACAACACAATGGTTTGCTTTGGTTTGCTTTTGAGACTCATATAATACTGCAGTGGATGAATAAAAGAAGTGGAAGCACAGTTCTTGTTGCTATTGGAAAGGAGGCAACAGATGGAGCAAAGAGAAAATCTCTAGTCTTTCTAGTCCACATTTTTCTCTTGCCATCTAATCAGGGTAATATGTTCCCACTGGGGTCTCTGCAGGTTGTGAAAAAATTACACCAAAGATCATACCTTATTATAGTTTTATCAGTATTGTTTATTCTTTTTCATTTTTTGGCCCTTCAAACGGGTTGCTTCAGCATTTCTGCACCATGCTGGTATAAAAGGATAAACACATGGCTTCACTGGAATTGGCTGAGCCACCCCCAAACGTGTCAGCAGAGGTCCTGACCCTTTCCATGCATGCAAACATGCCAGTCTGTTGGGAAACAAACACAAACCTCCTCCCTTTGAGCAYAAACTCAGCTTTAATGGAAAATTTCTGGATAAAGTGAAGTACAATAGGAAGGTCATAGCTCTACRTGTTGTTTAAGGGGAATTTGCAATTTCCTGATTTGCTGTGGTATCATTTGGGCTGCTTTGCCATGTTCACCTGCATGCATTTGTAATCTGGGAAACSTGAAATTGTGCAAATGGGACTGATTAAAGTCTGCCTAATGAAAATGATCACTAAATAGCCCACGTAGCTCTAAGGGTGAAGTGTTCTGTAAGCACGGAACTTGGTTTTGAATTGTGACGAGGCCCAGCAAGTGCTGAGCGTGGCACAGCCTTGCCCYAGGAGCCTGCTCCAGCTCCTTACATCCTGCCAGCCACCTCCGAGTCCAATATCTGCCAGGGAGGGATAACTTTTGTAGGGATAGAAAATGCTCACTTAGGGCAATCAAGAGATATCAGTATCTACTTTCATGTAAGTCCTTAAGGAGGGATTAAACCTGATGCAGTGCACTACCCTTTAAATGTTAAGGTCTGAATGAACTCTCTAAGTGTTTCAGTACCCTGTGATGTTAAAATTAGATCTTTGTATCTGAAGAAGCAGTGGTTACTGAAAGTGTCGGTGTTGTAGTGTTTCTCCAGCACTATGAGGTTCTTAACTGGTTTAGCAGAGCTGTTGAACATGTAGAGAATAATGATTCTTTTAATAAAATATTTTTTTTCCTTAAAGTGAAAATATTTTGTTCTTTTAAGAATTAAAAGTTTATTGTATCTAATAATCGATATAACAATAGGAGAGTTACCCTGGATGCTAAGATATTACTGCACATCTCTTGTGCATCTCTAAGATGGGGAAATAAAGATGCTAAAAACAGAAGCATCAAAATTTTTGATTTATAAATCAAAAGTTTTAAGACTGAAAATGTGAATGCAGATACRGACCTGCCCTTATAAATATAGAGGAAACTCAGGCCTCTAGAGAACAAGCTTGGCAAATGAGTGCAGCATCCACCTATAATCATTACAGAGTAATTAGCACAACATTAAGACCCAGAAGAACTATGTGCTGCTGTGTGTGTATATTATAYTTGCTCAGCTGTATATATTTTAGAATAAAATAACCTCATATAAAATGGTTATTAGTTGCATAGAGCACTTCAAAGGGTTGAAAAAGCATCTCAAGGACCTATAAAACATTCAGGAATAATGGCTTTTTAAACACTATTCTACAATTTTTAATGCAGTGTTTTCTGATAAAAGATACTACACTTTTTTTTTGGTTTTTTTTTTTTTTCCTTTTTAATTTCCACTTTCTTGTCTATTAGGTTGAGATGTTTTGGTAAGAAATGGGGAAAACATCTTAAATTTGTCCTGTAACCTTATTTGATTTGAATGCAAATTACTAGATTTGAATACGAGTAACTAATCAGTCATTCCTGTGCTGTGTTTTGAGACAAATACTTGTGTTCTTCACTAATAGAGGCATAACAAAATTAAGGGGGAAAAAAGCAATATCATTAAGATTCATCTTTGCTAGCAGCTAKCTTTAATTCACTGTGTTCCAAGGAAAATGCCATTCATCGGGTGTCAGGCTCACTTGGTTTCAGTGGCACACCTGAGAAGAGATGCTTTTTGTCCCCCAAGGTGGGTCCCTAACAAAGTCCTCGAGGCCTGGCTGGCTGTACCCAAGGAGCATGAGAATCTTCTCTGCAGTTTTGGGCTGTCTGGGATATTCAGTCTTGTGCTTCAGGTATAAGCTCCTCTCTGGATCTTGCAGGTCAGGGTAAAGGGTGAGGTGGGGCTGGGGAGCAAGCAGTGGGTTATTCCCACCTGAGCTGGGTCTGGCATTGTTCTCCAAAGCTGCTGGCACGCCATGCTCTGATTTGGGCTGCTCCAGCAGGTGGACCTTGGGTCCAGTCCAGTACTGCACACCCTGGCTAGACTCACCATCTAAAATCCATTAGTGGGTCATAAGATCATCACAGATACAGTTTCAACCTGCCTGTGCCACTTAGATGGGAGGTAGTGAGCCAAGCATCATGATATGAGGGAACAGGATAGCTGGGGAGTGAGTGGGTTCTCCTCCAAAWCCCTTTTTCTTTCTCCCTTGCTTTCTAAACTAATCTTCTCCTCAAGCATGTGCCTGTCTGCTGTTCGCCTTCACCCCATCAAAGTATTGTAACCTAATTTATAAAAGCTGGACGTGGAACAAGTGTAGTTTTCATCGAGCTGCAAGTATCCGTGCTGTGTAGAAGTCGCCGTATCCAGGCAGATGTAACCACCTCTCTGTTGTGCAGCCTGTGGGTGTTTTTACCCTCATCGCATGTCTGAGGGCATCTGCATTGTGTCATCTGTGCCACAGCGGAGATTTTTGAAAGATAATCGACAGCAAGACATACAAAGTTTGATAATCAACAGGAAGAAATACAAAGGTTTTTGACCRCAGAAGACTGTGAGAATGGCGTATATAGTGTGAGCACACAGCTTTCTCTTTTCCTGCTCTAGAAAAGGAGGGAAGCAGCTATATGAAATGCTAATAATTTCACTGTGGTTTTGAATAGACTAGACTTGAGAGCCTTGAGTATTTTTCCTTTTCTCTTTTAACTGCAATTTTGTTATTGTATTGCTGCCCCCATCTCTGCTAAATATGGCTTTTGAAATGTAAATCATATCATGTTCTCAGAGATGCATATGACACCCTCAGCACTGTTCCTCTTTGCACTTCAAAGAGCTGTGTGGTCACACTTTGCATCTCAGCAAAATCGCAAGATTTGCCTTCTGAAGATCTYCTTTAATGTGTACAATCAATCCCTGATAATGTATTTTGGGTTTTTGTTCCCTGGAGTCTGTTAATTTTAGTGTTGCTACAGGTCATCAGGAAACATAATCTCTTCTTTTTTAATTTCTCAGTGAGCGTGCCTGAGGGAAGAGGAACACAAGAGAGGAGAGACAATTGAACATCACCATTGGCCGARACCTGAAAAAATGGTCCTGGATGAACACAGGATTAGAACTTAATTGTAAAAGGGAAAGAAAGTCTTGACAGGCGATCTGCTTCRTTTTCACATTCATCATGGCACAAATCCTCTGGCTGGCCGGTTGATGGGACTGTCCAACACTTCTGCTTAGGTTCAGTGCAGATCCCTTCTGCCTACACATCGAAAGACCTGGGAACAGGTGGGAACTGGATGGTGCCAAATACAGGAATGGAAAGAGAAATGGACTCTGAGGAGCTAAGATGGAAGTGACTTGACAGCAACAAGCTCAGCAGTTGTCTCCAGTAAGGACAGGTTGAGACGGGAATCTCAAGCTTCGCTGGAAGAGCAGTATGCAGGAAGCTGGTTTTCAGGCCACAAATGCTTTCACAGGTAAGGATTTCTGTTCTAGTTCCACTCAGAGCTTTGGGATGGTTTAATGGAGTTTAGAAGATAAATTGAATAGATCCTGACTGTCATTAGCATCTTGCAGTACTTTCAGTTTAAATAATATTTTAAAACAATTCACTTGAAGACTAGTTCAACACTTATATTAGCAGTGAAAAACATGGTGTTCCACGTTTCAGCCTTCAGAAAAGGATGGCCACAAGCCTTGGGGAAGCTTTATCTCAGCTTTCCTTATTGAAGTACTCATTAACAGCTTAACCACGAGTGGTCTCTTGGGTCAGTAGAAAATGCAGTCTGTAAAGTTGCTCTTGTCCTCAGCAGAGGAGTTTGGTGAGGCTGCAGGATGGACACGGTTYGTATCAGGAGATTTCTCAGCATGTCAGTGTGAGCCTTATCTCATCTGCCAGAGCACATCTCTGGGCAGAACTTGCCAGGTACCCTCTCTTTGCACTGYCCCCGTGTCACTCACCTGCTGTAGTGCTTCAACTGGCGAAACTGGAGGGTTTAAATGGTAGCTGTTTTGCCTCAGTCTGGTGCATTTCTCTGTAGATGGATTGAAAATAATGTAACGAGACAGAGGATGCCACTGTGATGTGACTTTCTGAGGAAAGCTCCCTCTAGTGTAAAGTCTGCTGGAGTTCATACAACACTTTCCCTGTCTGGGATAGTTTCTGGCTTGAGGGGTGGGAGGAGGAAAAGAGGATGAGCAGATCCTACTGCTTTGTTTCCATGTCAGCCGGCCATCTGACATGCAGTGAGAAATGCAAAGAAAATCAACTTGATATTCCTCTTGCTTTAGTAGGTCTAGATAATGTAGTATAAACTACTGATGTGCAAGACACTTATTTTTCTAATATGAAACGTTTGCCTTTAGAAGGAGTTGTGGCTGCAGTGGGTGTGTCTGTGTGCCCAGCTGTGTGCCCCAGCACAGTGGTTTGCAGTGGTGGTGCAGCACTGAACARCCCCCAGTGCCTTGCGTTGCTTTGATTTACAGCGTGGTTTCAGTGCGTGTCACTGGGTTGTGTCCTGAAGGACAGGAAACGGGAAGCTTTCCTCCACATGTGCTCCAGTGCTGATGGGGGTGTGAAGTCTGGGACAGCCACAGGGCTCTCCTTCCTCTGTCTGGCCAGCAGCACCCTCCTAAAGCTCCCCACTGCTGTTCTTGTCCTCTTTCTCCTTGCTGCTCTCTGCCACTCCTCAGCTCTTTCCTAGTTTTTGTCACTCTTTCGCTTTCCACCAAAATTCCTACTGTGAGAATATCTGTACTCTTCCTTACCCTGGCTTTCTCCTTTGCTGAAAATCCTGTTACTTCTATCAACCGTGCAATATTACGTTATTTTTTCTCCAGTTTTACACTCTTCTTCCACTRTGTCTGCTATCCTTTAGCTCCCAGAAGTTGCACTGTTACCAGGATGMTTGGGCAGGGGTGTGTCGGAAAGCYGGTAACCTCMTGGCTGCTGCTGGGTGGAAAAGACCTGGGAAATAGTGCTGCATAAAATTCAGAGAGATGGAACTGCGGTCCCTGGAAGCCTGGGACAACAGTCAGACTGTGGTGGCAACCCAGAGTTCCAGACTTRTTCGGGAGATTTAATAGCATGAAGGTTGCTTGGTCTCCTGTAAGAAATTCTTGTATTCCTTTGTAATTGCCCTCAGGTAAAGAGGTTAATAAACATACTCAAATCTTGGCAGTTGWACTAAAGAATTATTAAACATTAAGATGCACCATACATTCAGGGGACTGGTTAAGGAAATAGGTTGAATTATATTTTCTTTATGAGGAGAAAACTTCCAATTTGTATCAAATTCATATCCATATTTGCTTTTTGGAGATCTTCTTGTTTCTTATTAGATTTATATGATGTACTCAGCAATAAACAGTRTTGTATTGGCAGGTGTGTGTTTCTCAGAGAAATCCACTGGACTGTGTTATGCTAATTTAGGAGTTGCAATAAAAGTTTAATGGCAGGTGCATATGGTTGATCGCTGCTGTAGCGCTCCTTTTGTTTTGTTGGAGTGCCAGTTTAGCTGTAGGAGAGAGCAATGTCTGCTGGCAGCAGAGGGGGCATGGCCATATGAGAAGGGAGCTAATTTGTACAAAAGAGCTTTGATATCTGAAGCCTGTGTGGTGTCAGCACTGAATCTAGACWTGCTAAGTGATTGCAGCTATTGCAGCAATCAGAGTAATAATTTCAATTTACAGCAGACCAGAGTGCTGGCAAAAGAAGCCTGGGAGGACAGTGCCTCTGTGTAGCCACCTTTGGAGTATTTCCTGAACCTCCTTTCCACTCTGCTAATTGCTGTGACTTGGAAAGGCTTACAGTTATGGCTGGAAAGGCTTACAGTTTGATCCTGTCTGAATGCTCATTTTACTGGTACCGATGCCAAAGATCCCCTTTTTCCAGATGACTCCTGTTCCAAGAGGTGGTCTCACCAAATCACTTTATCATGTATTACCAAACGATAGCAAATGTTTGAAACRTTTTTACTGTATGGCCTAAATACTAAATTCAGTAGATCATGTGAGTATAATGGGTTCTGGATTACAGGATGTAGAAGGAGCACTGTGGAAGGGAAGTGCTCCTAGGCTTGGTTAGGAAAGAGATGGCTGAGCCTATGGTGGTAAAATGCAATTTGAGTGGTAGCAATCAGGAAAGAGTGAGCCTATCATTCTTCAGAAGGTGAGAAGAGAGAACTTGAGAATGAAAGCAATAGTATGCAAGAAAGTAGATTGCACTGAGCTCATAGAATTGATAGGTAATATTACTTGGGGTACCAACCTGATAAATTCTAGCAATTTTTAAAGGAAATAACTTTTTCTTTCCAAGTCATAATAAAGAGTGTYAAAAGCCCAAATGAAAAGCATTCCAGTAAAAAAGTGTGAGAAGAGACAAAATTGTATGATCTGATAATTGAGGACTCATATGGAAAGTGGGAACTTGATGTGTTGCTGGAGATGAGTGTAAAAGAAGATGAGAAAAATGCGAGGGTCACATCAGGTAGGCTGGTTCACAGAACAAGGAACAGCTAATAAAGGGCAGGGTGACAAACATGCTACATTCTCGGCAGGAATAAGATGAAGACTGAGTTTCTGAGAATAGTTGAGAGGGAATGACAAAACTCATGATCTGCTGGGGCAGAGAGGCTCGAGTAGTTCATGTAATTCTTCGCATTGTTCTTTGCCTAAAAGGGTGATCTGTAATCAAGTGGCTGGAAAGGAACTGCCACCTAGAGAAAGGTATAGAATTCTAGCTAGAGCAGGAAAAGAGCAGATTATGAACTAATGAGAGAGGATAATGGGTGTTTTAGAACATACTGGAGCTTACTAAATTCTCTCTTCAGCATAGGGTGAAATAGCTGAAGCAATATCTGAGCAATTAGTGGCTGCATTGGAGAACATTTAGGGGACAGTTTCGGTTCACAAAATCTGTGAAAGGACAATCACTGCACCTACATGTAAACTTTTCTGGGTCTTTCRCTGTCCCCTTAGGAGTAGCTAACTTTTTTTAAATTCTTGGGGAAAAAAAGTTTAAATTAAATAGTCAACTGATTTTTTTAATAATTAGCCTGTAGATAATAATACGATAAATGAATTTGTGTGGGTTTTATTCCCTAGAAGGTACCTTGTCAGTGCAGCTTAATTTTCCTATAAGTAGATAAATAATATATTTTGATTTTTGCAAGTCTTTTCACATTTTCATRAACAAGGTGGCAAAATGGGCTACAAGGTGGGTACACAATTGGCTGGAAAGCTGTTCTCAGAATAATTACTAGTGATTCACAGTCAAACTAGAAGGATCTGTCAAGTGGGATTCTGCCCTGGATTGCCAGAAAATATTCAATATTTTAATTAATGATTTAGATGATAGAATCTGCATGCAAAATTTCCAGATGACACCAACCAGGGGGAGGATGTAAACCCTCTGAGCACAGGATTAGAATTCAAAATTAATRTGGTATATTGGAGAACTGATCTGAAATGAATACGATGCAGTTCATCAAGGACAAGTTCTAAATTGTGGTTCGACAGGAATAATCAGCTGTGCAAATCAAATTGTGGAATAACTGGTGAGACACCAGGTCTGCAGAAAACAGATGGGCAGTTGCAAGAGTTCAGTAAATGGCTGTGAATCAACAATACTATGCCATGAATATTATGCTAGAATATATGGACAGGAGTCTGCCTGCAAAATAATTTTTCCACTCTGCTTGTCATTTGTGTGACTGGTGTACTATTTCTGCTCTGAGCAGGGTTCTGTGGGCCCGTTGGAAGCATCMAGGGAACAGCAGAATGGATGGCCAGAGGTCTAGACAGCATAACCCTTGGGAACTGAAAAAAAGAGTGTTTTTCAGAGTAGAGCAGTAACTCTCAAACTTTCTGAAGATTTTTTCCCAGGTTCCCAKAAGCAGTGCAGCTTTGTGTCAGGGCATGTGTCTGAGGCACTGAGCTACATGAGAATATGTGGCTGTGACAYGGTAGTGCTTTGGTGTGATGGTCAGAAGGATCTCCTCGCTTGCTTTGGCCACTCTCAGTGCCATGCTGATGCTGGGATAACCGTAGTGGGAATTCTAGACAGCCAAGGTCTTTTTTAAAACCAGACACTTTCTTCATTATTGTGTGTTTTGAGTGCTGGTTTAGGAGAAGAGTGTGATGCTGAAGTCAGCTCTCCATCCCTGGGCAGTATGTGGCACAGGGACATCCAGGATGATCAAAGGTTAAGGGGAACACTTTGGGGTGGATTAGGAGTCAGTGTATGAAGCCTCCTGAGCTTGCAAGGTCAGTTTAGGTTCATCAGGATTTTATCAACTCCATCTCAGCACAAGGTTTGTCAGACCAGGGCTGTCTCAGAGGCTTTCCTGCCCTGTGACCCTCAGCSCTGCTAGAGGGATTATTTGCTCAGGCACTGTGGAAACCTGAATAAATAGTAAGAGGTTGCTCTGTGCAGTGGGACCYTGCCCTTCAGTCTAGCACTGACTTTTCCTGTCAT